GTTCCTGAAACACTCACACAGACTTTCTTAGCCTGTCCTGCCACCTCACTCCGGACTGTTTCAGCGTCATTAAATCCCTTGGACTTCTATATTATCCATAAAGGCGGCAATTTTGTCTATGCAGAACATGGTTGTTCCTTTGTGCTGTCTAACAGGCACATGGAACGTGTTATTCAGTCGGTACTTTTGCAATGATGACATAACAAATCTAATGATTCTGGGATCCACACCTGTCCAAACATCAGCTATGATTTTATTGCTGGTTATTATTATTACCATTATTAATAAGAAATGCTAAAACCTGCAGCTCCTCTAGTGACCACTTGATCCTGGTTAAAAAGTTAGTGAGTCCTCAATGACCGTCATGTTAAAACGTCCAGTTTACAGCCAAAACTACGGAACGTGTTTACAGCCTGCTGCATAACTGCGGGCTCCTCCTTCGAACAGTTGTAACGCTTAAATCAGGGGTGTGGCTGCCGTGATTGACAGGTGCGCTGAAACAAGGAGCTGTAGCTCTAAAAGTCAGTCACGCCCACACACACTAATTTATCTGTTTTGGGCTTGTTTCATTTTTACCAGTTTGTGGAAAAAACTGTGATAATAAAGCTTCAAGCATTAATTGTGCTTCCAAATGTGTATCAACACTTTTGTTTAAGCTGTGCTGAGATCTGAACCCAAACCTCAACACAGCTTTTTCAAGTTAAACTATTAACCAAACTAGAACTTCAGTTGCTCTAAGCAGTTTCATATGATTGGCTGTAGATTGTTAAGCTACTGGATGAGTGCACAGAGTACCGTCTTCTAACTTGGTATTCTATATGAAGCAATTTAAGTTCAGGATGGGATGTTGTGGGAGTCAAAGTGATATGCGCCGCACCCGGACACGCTGCACAAATTTTTCAGGGATTATATCTTTATTATATCTCTAACCTTTGAAACACGTGTGGCCTCTTGCAGTGGAGTGACTGCAGAAAGTGATGGAGGCATGCTAGCTGACAGACGCTGCATGAATATGCAAAGTTCATGTGAAACTAAAACAATACTACTCTATATCACTTTTTGTTAAATGAAAAAATGCTTTTATATTTTTTTTATGAAGCGCCTTGAGGCGACTTATGTTGTGATTTGGCGCTATATAAATAAAATTGAATTGAATTGAATTGAATTGAATATTTTTAAGAAGCTTTCTATCATTAATATCCGGGAGGCGTGTCTTTCTGGAGCATATCTGACCTCCTTCTGTGTTGACTGTCAGCGTCCTGTCGATGTCTTGACATCATGCTGCAGACTCTACTTCATCTGTTGTTCCTATTTTGATCGGAGGGCTGAAAAATACATCCAATGCAGAAATGCCTAAAACTATTTTGCAAATAGCCATTTGAGGAAAAAATGTACACATGCTTACAGTAAGGGTGACTATAGATCCGTGTTTTATACGCAGTGTGTGAATCATGTTCTTCATATTTAACAGCAGCACAAACACTTTGAAAGCAGGCTGGTTGTCACAGCACTTTCCCCTTTTAAGCAACAGAGACGAACACTGGCGCTTTTCTCTGATAATAACACGAAACAAAAGAATCCCACTCAGAGAGATGCTTAACGATGACTGATAAACCAACTAGATTTGATGCCGTTTCCTCTTAAATATCTTCTTAGATTTGCCAACACTGCAGAGTCCTGTGAAGACTTTCACTCCTGAGGCTCGTGAGCTAAAATAAGTTGGATTTATTGATTTTTTATTGTTATTTTTTTAACTGAAGATAAAAGATTCATTTTGATTAAATGTTTTTCATTTTGTGTCAGACCATAAATGTCCTGTGGAACATGATACAGCTCTATTTAATCCTGACCAATCAAAAGCTTCAAGTATTACAAAAACAGACAAATAAAACATTTTTGTCACTTCCGGATAAATATTGTAGACATCATTACAAGATAAAATTTCAAAAAAATATTGTGGCGCTCAAATGTAAATAAAGGAGAACATAAACAAACGGACACTCAGCTGAACTGAAACGAAATCATCTGGAATAATGAAATGTTTAAAGAAAGGCCGCTCGACTCTGTTCAGCAGGGATTTGCTCCAGATGCTCCTGTTACTGGCTCTTTGGGCACATGCTTCAAGCACAGTATTTAAAGTCCGACAAAGAAGCAAAAGCTGCAAACTCTCACTGCACTCTCGCTTCTTTTCAACAGTTTTCTGGTCTTTTGAGACAAAGAAAATGGTGACATTGTGACACTGTCGCTCCAGTTTTCGTTAAAATGTTCAATTTTCTTGCTCCTTTTATTAAAAGAAAATCTCGCGCACACTTAGTGGACTTTGCACGTGCTGTGCGGCTCCCGCTGCGGTCCGTGCGCACTACTTCAACTTATCCGTATCACGCGGCTCAGTCTGTTTTCCAGGCACATGATTGGCTCGGCTCAGTGCTATTCTTATTGTCATTGGCCTATTGTGCTGTCTGTCAAAACATTAACGAAGGATTGTAATCGACGTTATGTTCGTCACGTCTCATATTTCTATGACAGAAAAGTCATTTCACTGTAATTATCTTTATCGTTTTTGAGATTTGTATTGTTTGCAAACCCCTTCCTCGCATAAATATTTTCCAGTTGCCATTTGGATTTTTTATTGGTTTGTTTTTGACAAACAGGAAACCTCACAGATATCCAAACCAGCCAACAGGCCCAGGATTAGCTTCACACCCAAACCCTGCATGGAAGTTACTTACCTCTGAGGCACTGCAGCACCCAACGCTTCAGCTCACTGTTATTAAAAAAACATTACTGGGATACTTTTCTGGTTAATTGTCATCATTTTAATATCAAAGGACAATACCATGTTGAGCTGAGGACTCAGTACATCCAAGGATTTTATGGAAACTGTTAACCACCTCAATAAATAAAAGAAATGAAAACGATCACAGCTGGAGTTACATGGTACTGACAATAGATCAAGCCATTCTCAAGTCTTAAATAAACATTCAATATTTTTACAGACTTTAGAAAAGAAAACAATGAGATCAACTATTTGTCTATTACAGTGTTTAAAACAGCATTCAGAGCTAGAACATAGATTTATGTACAGTTCTGCAAGATATTAACATTCTATCAAAATAAAATTAAAGCCTTTAAACGGTAGTAAAAAAGGGGGAGGAGCTGAACGCTGTGCTGCAGTTCATACTGGGACATTTCAGTCAGGGTTTCTGTGTGTGTTTGTGTGTATCTAGAGGTGTGAGAGTGTATCTACAGGTGTGTGCTGTAGAACGCAGGTGCAGCATAACTCTGTGTCCCCAGCATGAAGGGAGACAGGACGTGGCTGGCGGTGAGGAAAGGCAGCTGGACAAGGCTCCCAGCAGGGGGGTGATGGTGGCCGGCATAGCCTGTGTGCATGGCCAGATGCCCACTGACTGGAGGGGATTGGCTCAGAGGGCTGAGGCTTCCCAAGCCTCCTCCCGCTCCTCCCCCTGTGCCTCCCGTGCCTCCTGCTCCTCCCGTGGGGGCCGAGGTGTCGGCTCCAGGGTTCTGCTTCTTCCATTTGGTTCGCCGGTTCTGGAACCAGATCTTAACTTGGGTCTCAGTGAGGGAGAGGGACAGGGCCAGGTTGAGGCGCTCACACACTGACAGGTAGCGTGTGGACTTGAACTTGTTCTCCAGCGCCACCAGTTGCTCGTAGGTGAAGGCAGTCCGGGCTCTGCGGGGCTTCCCCGACTTGGAGTCTGAGCCAGAGCGTTTCCTCTTGGGCTTGGCCCCTTGGCCCCCATTGGTTTGGGGACTGGTGATCTGGCTTGTGGGGCTTCCGTTAGGGGTCTTTGTGTCTCTGCTGGGATCCTGGTGGCTGTGCTGGCCTAGTTCTCTGTCTCCATTACTGGGAAGAGCCGAGCTGCTCTCCTCACTGCTGTAGGGCCCGTCTGCAGCCTCTGAGTCCGGGGTCCCAGATCTGTGGAAGTCTTCCTCATCTGGACTTCTGTATATAAAGCCCTCCTCTAGAAGAACGCACACAACAAAGAGTTCAGCCACATGTAACATCCAACAGGTTCTCCATCCTATATGGTTGTACAGGTGGTTTGTCTCTACAGCCCACAGTAGCTTAATGAAGTGGTTTATTCAGATTAAGGCATACCAAGCTCATGTTTAGGCTTATGTAAGTAGTTCACTACCTGGATCACTACCAATACCTTAAGATATTTAGGCAGGCTAAATAAAACCCATGGCTTTACCAAGGTCCTGCACTGCTAGCAAGTTAAGCCAGTTAAACTAGATTTGGTACCAAATGTCACAGCTACAGAAACAAAGATACCAAAATATTGTGTGATTCAAATTATTAGCATCTGACAAATATGCATATGAACAAGTTAGCTCACAATATGGAGACTTGATAAAATGACTAGAGCTTTTTAATTGATCTTTTCTGTAATATCAAACTGAAGTCTTATTTCATCAGTTACAAGCAGAAACATTTTTATTTCTTCACTGCAAAGAAGGTTTGGCTTCAAATAAATACTTTAAGGTTCAGCTTCTTGGTTGCAGTAATAAATTGGTGGTATGGATTATGAAATGGTTAGAGCTAGAAGAAACAATGCTGGCCATAAAGCAAACAGTGGTCTTCTAAGTACTAAGTTTACTGGCCCATCTATTTACCCCTATCTCCTCATAATTACCGTTGCCACGGTAGGCCAATTAATCTAAAAATGTAGCTAAGGATTGTAATTAGCTTAATTATCTGCTATATGGAAAAACAGTCTCTTCCCAGCATAATCAGTGAGTGTTGAACTGCGGTCCCAATTATGGCCACTGTACGCTTCCTTCAGAAACTTGCAGTTGAATTTAAAAATAACTTGAATGAATAAACACGTCAAGTTTCCAAAGACAGAGCAGCCATGAGCCTAACCTGAGTAAAGTGCTAAAGAGCCAGGGGGCAAGAATGAGCTGCTGATACTGAGCTGCCAACTCTCTGCTCTCCATTAGTATTAATCACTGTGTCATCCGGTATCCATCATCGTTTTTTGCTATGTGCTCCACTTTCTGGAGTTTACTCATCACACGATTACTGCATCATAAGTCTGTGGTGTCTTACTTCATTTGTGGCTAAATGAGTGAGGGCAATATTTGGAAATAAAACGATAAAATCAACAGAAATAAGAAGGCAATTAGATCAAGAAGGTTCTGAAAACAGTATCTTCAGACGAAACGAAAAGGTATGAAATGACCATAAACTGATCACCGTACATTACTGTGCACTGTAAAATATGCTAGATGATTATCAGGCAAAATAAATTGTGTTTGAATACTAATAGTGTGCTAAAATAACAATGGAGCATTGGATTATGGTGGATTTTAAGGTACCACAGATCTGCAGAAAAACATTAATAGACATTGTTGGACCTCTTAAATGTCCAATTAAATATTTTAGCTGCAAATCGACTGCTTTTACGCCAGCCCTTCAGAGGAGCACATGGTGCTTTAGTCTTTAATGAAACTGTAACTCTTTCTGCAATTATACGTTAGGGACAAAAACGATGTGGACGTTCACGCTAAGCTTTCATACAGTTTGTGCATTGTGCACATACATGTCATGAAAACACCGAGCACAGCCCACACCAACATGTACAGCACACATGTGCTTACAGCCCTGCAAATGCTCGTATTGCTAATGTTAGAGAGATACTGTGTGTGCTTTTTTCATGTTATTGGTTTGAATATTTATGTCCCAATTATGCTGTTCCTTTAGTCCTTAATATCAACAACATCAACAGTTTTAAATGGCAAGAAAAAGTAAACTGCACCTTGAATAATACTAAATTATATATTTTTAAAAATGTATAATGTAATACATTATATTGTTATAACCGCCCCCCCCCCCCAAAAAAAGTGAGAAAATAAAAGCATTTATTAACCAGTGACAAATCCACCTGCATGATTTCCACTGAAAAATGACTGAGCATGTGTTAGATCATCTGGAGTAAGACTGTGTAGTTTTACAGATTAAATCAGAGACAAAATATGTATGAAAGCTAACACAGAAGGGTTAGTTTAGCTGTGATGATGTAGACAGAAGAACCTGAGAGAAATTTTAAAAACAAGCAGGTTTACAGGTGTGCAGAAAAGATAGCTCAATAAGATTTTGTTTTACATGTAATTTACTCATAAAATGTCCACTTTTTCATTTATCTCATATAATATTATTATTATTATTATTATTATTATTATTATTATTATTATTAAAATAATTAAGAATAAAGGAACCATGATGCTTGGTGAGATGGTTTCTTGTCCATTTTATAACAAACAGAAATTAATAATAATTTGGTTTGTTTTTGCAAAAACACGCCAGCCACTTAATCATATACTGATTCTAATTTAAATGTTTATTTTTAAAAAGGCCTGATTTTACAGTCGTTAAAAATAAAGCCTTATGTTACCACTATATTTATTATAGTCTGTACGTGATATTTATTTCGCTAGTTTCACTGTGCTGGGATACTTTTTGGCAGCCAGTATAATAAAACAAAATAATAGTATACAAACTACAACAGCAGTGCATGCGTTCCTGTGATGTTTTTACTGTTTTCTTTCTTTTTCTTTTCTTTTGAGCTTTTGTTTTTAACCCAGCTCGACTATATCACGAAGTTATAATTATTTATGATGTAGGGTATATGCCTGTGTCTGCTTCTGAAAAATAAAGTCAGAATTTTGTTGATTTGAAATCTGTAAAATGTACGGAAAATTTAATTAAAACAAATGAGAGATTTAAAAATACATAAATAAATAAGGAAAATAAAAATGTGACGGAAAAAACAAAGAAAAGAGGACAAAAGGAGGAAAACGTCCAATACTGTATTATAATAATACGAAATCGAGGAGACGGAGCTGATTGGAGCTACTGCGTTTACGTGGGGTCCATGAACTTAGTGCACACCTGTCCAATAATACCGATCACACACAGGAACTGCAGCCAATTAACTTTTTTGCTCCTTTTTTGCTCCTTTTAATTCTAGATAAAAACAGATGCTGTTTTAAACTTAAAACCAGAGAGCTCGTTCTCCCCATTCTTCCATGTTTTAATGGTCCGTACTCGGTAGTTTTCTCATCTCTTACATCATCACAAGATTTCACCGAATAAGTGGCCTGGAACACAGATTTCTGTGTGACTTCAGGGTTTAGTGAGAAAATATTTACGGACGAAGCAAAAGCCCAACAACAACTGGTGGGTAATTAAAACCAGAATCCTTAGGTCACAGTGAAACCACACACAACAATGCAGTGCCCTTAAAATATGATCACAATTAGAAAGGATCATTTTTCTTCCGTCGGAAAAGCCTAGCGGTGTTCACACCACATGTATTATTGATAAATAGCGTAAACGGGCTATATTAAAGTAGAAATGGAAAAGCTCTATATTCGATTTGGGGTCCATGTAAAACGCTTACATTGGTTTCACTCAGGCTAATGTTGGTATGTTTAACTATACATGAATAAATCAGTTAATTCACCGGTAAGAATAAATATGATTTGAATGACACAGAAAATAAACAACCTAATTACTAACTACAAACGCGCGAGCACACACGCTCGCGCGCACACCTATTTTAATCATATAAAAAAACAGGTCAAATTTCTGAAAACGTTAAAGGATGTTGCAGAATCATTCAGAGTGGTTTCTAAGGAAACGGGACTTTGAACCGTAACAGGAGCAGCTCGACTGAATTCAGCTGCCCGAAGGAAAAGACGTCACTGACGCAATGGCGGGAAATTAAAGGAAATGAAAAATAAATGATTCGATAATGGACTTGGTTTGAAGTCCACGGAGACTTACTGCTCTGGTATTCGTCTGCACCGTAGCCCTTGCTGGCCTCGAGGCTGGGCTCGCGCTCCCCGGCTCCTCCTCTCCGGTTCTCCGCTCCGTACACGCTCTGCTCGAGCTCGCCGCGGTGGCTCACGTGCTGTTGTTGCAGCTGGTGTCGCCGGTTGCTCGTGAACTTGTTGGGGTCCAGGATGTCCAGCACGGAGAAAGAAGTTGTCCGGTGCCCGATGGGGCCCTGGAGAGTAACAAATGGGAATGATTTATTTCGTTAAAAAACAAGACAGCATCGCCTTTTATCCCGTGTAGCTGAATTTATTTGAACTTGCTTTTTTTTCTTGTCCCCCCACAATTACGTTTTGCCACGCATTTTAACTGCTATATATTTAATTGTAATATTAATAATGATCACTTTAAATTTTATTATTTTTATTATTACTATTATTACTATTAGTAGTAAGCAGTGTTAAAGTCAAAGACAAATCCCAGTGTTAGGTGTTGGTAGCACACATCACATCCAATAAAACAGACGGTAAAGTGTGTTCATAAAGCAAACATGAACACAGCTGTGTAGCGGTCAATAGGCTATCAGAAGAAAAACGAATCAATCCCATTTTAAGTAGTGCAGTCTATAGATTTCTAAAACTTCACTTTTACATTTCCACACGTAATTGGTTGGAAAATATGTGAGTTCAGGGGAAGGCTTACACTTAAGGTAAAATGCTGCTTTACCAGATTGTTTGCACCTGCATGTGGGCATAAGGTTTACAGTGTGATGTAGAAATGTTCAGACTTTTTATATCATAATTTATGTGGAGCCAAAAAGGTAGCCAAGTGTAAAAGACAGATAAAAGGTGGTGCAGTGACTCTGTTTCCACCCCTCCCTGCATTACATCCTGATTAGGATCATCCATTTATTAATGAGGCCAGTCTTGAGCATGTCGACATGAATAATCCTACATTAATATTCTCTCTTTAAATAATCCCAGGGAGCCTCTGGAGAAAGACCCAGGGGCGTATTAACAACTGGTGATAAGAATAGTCTAATCGAAAAATGCCACAATCAGAGCTGCGAATAAACACAATCACGTTTTATTTAAGAATAAACAAATTCGCGTCTATGGAAAAAATATAGAGAAACGCCCGTCTTTACAAACAGGCCTACTTTGAATTATTTTGAATTCAATTAATTTCGTTCAGAAACGAACGAAAAAAAATCGAATAGCTTTAATTAGAGCAATAATAATTATAACAAAATAAAAGTCGGTGTCTTTTACGGGAGCGAATTTGAATGCTTTTAATTTAGAACTTTTTATTTTGTCTCTTTCCGATCAAACTCTCCAGCTGCATTTTATTAAAGGCCTCATCTCCATAATATGACCCATAACCTGACAACACGGGCCACATTTTAAAAACAACGAATCATAGCAGTTACACAACAGGACCAAGTAACCAAATAATTGTATTTTAAAAACCGTCTTCCGTTTTCGGTGCTTCGGCTGCTCCCTGTGCTAAGAATTCTTACTTTTCTGCTCGCCCAGCTACTTTTCGTGCCATCCTTCTTTCCTGTAATGTAATATCTGTCTGTCTCGATGCTTCTCTATTTATGCTGCAGTGTCCCGGTTGTGTCCTGTCCGCTGGTCTATATAGGCTACCTGAGAGTCTGCCGTTACTGTCTGCTGCTACCGTCACGCACCGCTCCGGTAGCGCTTCACAAAGTTTGCTCGTGCCCGTATTAGCCTACCTGCTGTGGCGGGGCCAACACCGGATTCGTCGGTGGAGCTTCCGAGTGGTTCTCCGTGGCCTGAGCATCTCTGCCGCCGGCGGTCGCGCTGGAGAAGAGCCGCTTCTCCCCTGCGGCGGCTCCGTCTAACAAGTCACCGCTGTCCGGGCTCACCACAGTTTGGACGCCGTCCCCGCCGCTGGGCGCCGGTAGCGCTCTGTCCCGACTCATGACGGGTGGCACGGCGTCCGTCACTGGCCCCGCCGCAGCTCTCTCCCGGCTTATCACGGTCTGGACCCCATCCGCTCTGTCCCGGTTCATCACTTTACTCTCCCTTTCCCATATAATAACAATCCGTTAGAGATGAAAATTTAAAGAAACAAATCAACACCAAGTCGTTTTAAAGAGCTTGGATGATACTCATGTCAAATAACAAGTTCACGCCACAGGCCGGTTCATGTGTCCCGTCAGCATTCTGTCTCAAGCGGTGTGTTCACCCAGGTAAAGTTTTCCATTGGCATCCGGACAGTCTGGGCAGAATACGAGCTTTAGCTGGACTCTCGCTTCCGTCAAACTTTAAACTTCTTCTCTCCGGCCTTCATCCTCTACATCGGCCGCTGCAACTCAGCGTCTCCGGCGAGCTTTTGTCTGTCCGTCTCGTACCGTGGCGTTATCCCGTACTGGCACGCACACATAAACAGCGCGCGATGTTCCGACCTCCAGCCTTGCGCGCTCTGGAAGCCTGACAGGAGTTGAAGGCGGGACAGACTGATCTATCTCTCTAATAGTTAAAACTAGCCTGCTCCCCCCTCGCTTGCTCTCTCTCCCCCATTAGTTAAGTGAAGAACCCTTTCTCTCCCCTCTCTCTCCCCCCTCTCTCTCTCAGTTCTTGTCTCCGTTTTTGGCTTTTAGCAGGCCACTCGAGGAGCCTCCACCATACATTTGTCCCCGTGTGTGTGTGTAGGCCTGTGTGTCGCCATCTCCCTCCTTATTTATGCATTCTTATTCAACTCTACGGGTTGTAATTGGCTACAAATTAATCCCACTTGCACTAATAGGCTATTATCTCGAGGCTGCAAGCGCGCGGGTGGTGCTGTGTGGCCCGGGCCAATTCGCTATCAGAGCACGCGGAGGAATAGAGACAGAGCGGGAAGAGCGCTGGCTGTCCCCACTTCACAGCGCGCGGTGTCGCCTCGCGGATCTCACGACGCTAAATTGTTTAGGTCGACGCTTCGTGAAATGTTGCTTTGTTCGCCAACAGGTGACGTAAAGGTGTAGCAGGTGTACAGATAGTTGGAACACAGTCACAGTGCTCAGTTATTAGTTCTAGAATTAGCCTTAACCAGCGAGTTACATTAGCGTTCGGAGGTTAACAGCCGTGTGCTCTAATTTATAGCTAATGTGTAATACGCCGCCTCGCTCGCACTTTACTCGTGCATCCACATGAAAGGGGGCGCTTATCTCTAATGCAGATTCCAGGGCAGGGCCTCTCTCAAAACTCAATTACGGCCTGAATAAAGCCGGTAATGTCCCCGCTGCAGTGAAATATTGATTCCTAATCCTTGGCAGTCATTACTATGCCAGAAAATAATAGACCACAGAATTGGATTTTGATTTAACACACGACGTGTTTATTCTAATACTAGGGACTTAATATTCCGTTGACTCTCATTTTCAGCCACAGAGGAGAGGGCAATGGTGATGGAAGCTCTAACGCCACACTTTAAAAAAAATATTGTTGTGGAAAATATTTAAAAAAAGAAGGAAGAAAGCGAGGTGACGGGACATCTTTCCTGTCCTCCTCCCCGGTCCTAATACACAAGGTCAGCTCCATGTAATTGCCTTGCTCAATGATCCTTGGGAGGAAGAAATTAAAAGTTGAGTAAAATAATGACTGAAACAATGGGACATGATTAACCAATCAGAGAGCTGAACCCATTTGATCTACTTCCTGCTTCCACCCTGAGGCTTTATAGCTTTATTTTAAAATGGTCAATATATTAACTATATTAAACATCACTGCAGCTTATTTACCTTGGAAAATATTTGCATAAAGCAGCACCACTGCACTGCACAGTGCTACAGAGAGGAAGCGTTGATGCAGCCAAGTGAATATGGAAAAGTATTATTATTATTATTATTATTATTTATTCTGCATTTGAAATCCAGCCAAACAGCCTCACTGCATGTGACCTGAGGTGCATATATGTCAAATTAGAAGAATATTAACCGCTAAAGTCTTAAAAGAATGAGTTTTAAGAGCAGTCCAACCCCGGTTCCACACATCAGTGAGTGTAATGAGCTGTGTGCCTAGCGTTCTGGCCTTTGACCCTAATATCTCTTTAATGCAATTTGTAGTGCAGCTCCATTATATTCAGAGAGGAAGAAGCCCGAGAAACAGCAAAAAAGAATAACCATATCAACTGGAGTTGTGTATAGTAGTATTTGCACAATTTGGAAAATATGTGTCCTTTCTGTTTATTATTGCTATGATGCTAATTTGCTTCTCACTATGACAGTACGAACAGAAAACACACACACATGCAGTGGTAGTCCCACTTTCCACAGTGTGGGCCAACAGATGCTATGGGAGAACTCCCCTTCCCGATTAACAGTCAGCACGCACGTGTATGTGAGCATGTGTGTGTCTTGTGTCTATAATTATTCTAATGAAGGTTAATGAGCTCTGCTCAGCCTCCTCTTTATTAAATTAATCTCAGCCGGTAATGAATCATAATTACTATAATTAGCAGCTTGAGCTGCCTGATCTCATGCCGGTGGCTGGTCAGAGCAAGGTGTGGTGTGACACGGAGGCTTTCATCACACCCACAACTTTCATCTCTCCCTCCTTCCACTGTGTCCACTGGCTTTGGCTCTGCATTAACATAATGTTCATGGAGCTGGTCTTTCAGCGTAGAGCTTCCAGACTGGATCTGAGATTTGCTGCACTAATTTGATTATTGCTGATCGTAATATCAGTCAGAATGATTGTGTATGTTAGTGTCAGTGATCAGAGCTGCTATACGCCGTGTAGTCACACTTGTGAGTTTACATTATCACTATCTAAATGAGGCCTCTCAAAGTTTGAAAGGCCTGACAGAAAACAGTAATACTTTAAAACAGGTTTCAAAAATGTAAGAATAAGGAGTGCTACTATCAACAAACCTGACACCTGTCCAAATCCACTGGATTTCAAAACCTTGAGCAGTACAGCTTTATTTATTAGTGTTATAGATATAGCTTCAGTGAATTTTTTCCCCATCTTCTCTTTATTTCTGCCGCTATACTTCTCCTATCCATCTCTTCGCTTCCTCTATTCCTTCCATTTTTTTTTATTTTGTGTCTTTTCAAGGTTCTGTGTTTTAGATTAGCCCTCCTCCTCTTCCCCATTACAGGGGTAAAAGCCCCCCATCCTCCACTCACACACAGAGGCAGAACCCTCGCACCATACACACCTCGCAGTTAGACACTCAGATAGAATCTGACCTGAAGAATTAATTAAATATGATAGCTGATTAAAAATAGCATAACTAATAGTGTAATATCTCAAGCTGTCGTCTTTAATAGTCAACATTGTGAGTGTGTGTCTTATCTGCTGCAGACAGACGCTCTCACTATTGATTCCTGTTCATTTCAGTTGTCAGGCAGACCACTCAGCTCATCTGGAATCATTAAACTCGCTGTCTCCCTCTGTGTCTCTCTGCCTGTCTCTTACCCTATTTTCTCACCTTTATCCATTTATATTTAATTTATTTCAATTCCACCACTCTTTTATAATGACAGGATTGAACCAGTGTAGCAACAATCTACAAAGGCAATATTGTAATCGG